CTGGGGTACCAATAACAGCTCCAAACTCCACTCCTCTTCACAGAGGCTGCAAGGGCCCTATGCGAGTGTCTGAGGGCTGCTATGACAAATATCAGATTGGGCCAGAGGAGAGGGCACTTAAAAACGTCACCCATCCATTTCTTGTAGTTCTGGAGACCAGATGTCCCAAATCAAGAAGTAGGTATGGTTGTAATCCCCTGCAGGCTTCAAGGAAGGATCCTTTGGCTTCTTTCAGCTTCTGGCAGCTGCTGGCATCCCTTGGTTTATGTCCACATCATTCCAGTCTTTGCCTGGTCTTCATGAGGATTCTCTGTGTCTGTCTCTGCTGCCTCTTTCAAGAGTGTCTTTCACTGAATTCAGGGGTCACCCAGAAAATCCAGAATGATCTCATGCTGAGATTCTTAACTACACCTGCAAAGTCCTTTTCTCCAAAAGAGGCCATCTTCCCAGGCCTAACAAGAAGCAATAAGTAGGCATGTGAAGACCAGGAGCCAGGTGCTCATTGAAAGGATCATACCAAAGTCAAGCATGGCTACAGTGACAGCTCACAGGCCGGCCCCCTGATAGTCAGGCAACCTTTGCTTAATACACATGCTGAGTCCACAGAGTAGATGCAATGTGCTAAGTGGAACAAAAACAGGCCCTTTATGAATAAAAATAATCTGCTCGGTAATTTATAGGATTGTCTCATGTATGTAATCAGAAGAAAAAACTGGCCCCAAGAGGTCATCAACAAATAAAGCAAAAACACACCAAACTTTTCATGTCTGTAACTGGACACATTCCTTAACATACAGCACTTACTTGCTGAGGCTGCAGTCATAAAGGGTGGAAGACCAGCCTCGCACCTCTCATTGGGAAGGGACCCCAAGTACAGGCAAGGACCTAGGCCGAGAGAGCCAGGAGAAGTGGTTATAATGCCCAAGGCCCCCCTTTTCTCAAATCCCTTATTGTCCACAAGTGATCCTCCCCTAAAAATAAAATCCAGCCAATTAACAGTGCCAGCAACTCTGAGGGACAGGAACTGATGGGTGCGGTATCTCAGGTCCAAGGGGCTTCCTTTGGCTCTACTAGAGATGGCATAGTACCCACAGATGCCATGTTCATGGCGTCGTCTGAATGCAGCTAGTTATTTCTTTTCATACACTCCAGACCGTAGGTATCTGGCAAAATCAAACTAAAACCCTAATAGCAACTGGAACACAGGTAAGCAAGACCATAGCAGAACATGGATGAAGAGGACTCAGGGGGTCTGCAGGAAGGGAGTGTGTGCCTAGATACCAGGAAGGAGGTCCTTACATCTGACTGTCCTCTACAGGACAGCTGTCTAGCTGTCTCCAGCCAGGCTAATGAGGGTACAGGTACAGTACAGGACTCCCTCCAGCCTGGGAAAGGTGTCACCACATCAAGGTGACACGAGAGCATCTCACAACCACGAGGATCATCTCCCTCCCTCTTCGCCTTTTCTCCTTGGCTGGAAAGCGTCACTCTCCCAACCCCAGTTAAAGGGGTTAGACCTTTCCAAGAGAAAAAAGTCCAGCCAGCCAGACATGGCTTTGAGGCTCAATCTCACACTTGGGCAAATAACAACCCCATCTCAAAGTCTCAAAGGCCTGACTTCTAAGATTCTGCAAACAATGAAAGAGTATCATGTACCTCATAAAGTACCTGTGTTAAATATATGTTGGCAATTAATGTAAGATGCTAGTGTTTGGGCCATCAGCCACATTCTATTCCATTTTTAAATTTTTTATAGATTTTTCCTGTTTATATGGCGCGCGCTCTCTCTCCCTCCCTCCCTCCCTCCCTCCCTCCCTCCCTCTCTCTCTCTCTCTCTGTGTGTGTGTGTGTGTGTGTGTGTGTACGTGTGTGTACACGTGTGTGAATCATGACACACATACAGAGAGAGGTCAGAGGACAACTTGTGGGAAATCAGCTTTCTCCCTTCACTGTATGAGTGCTAAGATGAATTCAGGTCAGCAGACTTGGTGGCATGCACTTTTACCAACTGAGCATCTTGCTGGCCCAGTGTTTTGTTTGCTTCCTCTTTTCTTGAGGTATTTTCTTGCTGTGTAGCCCCAGGCGGGTCCAAAACTAATGGCAAGCTTTCTGCCTCATCCTCTCAAGTGCAAGGATTATAGGTATAGAGTGACAATAGATGACTCCATCCTATTCCACCAGTATGGACACCCCCTCCCAAAAGTAACATGGCTCTGGACTATTTAGAAGTCAAAGTTGGACTTATCAGCAAAAGCTCTTAGAGGTAATTTAGTAACAATCATATATTTATAGACATAAAACAAAAGCAATGATTAGTATGCAGATTTTAATCCCAGTGGATTCTGAACACAGATGGGGTCTGTGAACCCAAAGACCATTCCCTTGGGGAATGCTGCTGCTTTTGAGTGACACAGACCACTTGGAAAAGGCTCCCAACAGTGAGCTGTGCAGAGAGCTGGGATCCTAACTTATCCCATACTCTGCAGAGAGTTTAACTAGTCAAGGCAGAAGACAGGGTGTCACAGAACTCTCAGTTCGTGGAAAGCAGCAGCCCTAGAATCAGAGAACCCTAGCATGGTGTTCACAGCAGCCACAGGCAGTGCCTTCCAAGAGCAAGGCTACCAGTCCAGCACTGACATGCTACTCGTGCTCCAGAACCACCTGACCATGCAAAGCTCAACAGAGACTGGAAGAGCACCTGGAACTTCAAGTTGCATGCCAAGGAAAGGAGCTAGGGTGCTCAGATCTAGAAGTTCAGTACAGCACTATTAATATGCAGGTTTAAAGGTCAGGATAAGGGGAGGGGACTGAGCTGCCACACTCAAGAAGGCTGCATTAGGGTTCTCCAAAGAAACAGAACAAGTGAGATCTCGGATCTCTGTCTCTCTGTCTCTCTGTCTCTCTGTCTCTCTGTCTCTCTGTCTCTCTCTCTCTCTCTCTCTCTCTCTCTCTCTCTCACACACACACACACACACACACACAGATATAATACACATTAAATTGGCTAACATGATCAGAGGGGCCATCTGCAAGGTGTGAAGCCAGGGATGTCAGACCCTCAGAAGGAGAGAGCCCTATGGTGTACAGACTTGGTTAGATATTGAAGACCCAAGGGTCACCCATACAAATCCTAAAGTTGAAAGGATAAAGAATCCGGAGTCTGATACCCAAGGCAAAATGCATGCCTGCTTGGGAGAAGAAAGGCAGAGAAAGGCCAAATGTCTCTCTTCCCCACATCATGTTCAATCTGAGCCTAGCCTATTGGATTGTTCTGTGCTGCCCAGATTCAGGGTAGGTCTTCCCCACTCAGATCACGGACACGCATGAAAGTCTTCTCTGAAACATCCTTGCACACACACCCATGCCTTACCAGTTCCTTCAACCCAATCATGCTGACACCCAAAGTCAACCTTCAGAGGCAATGGGTACACCATTGGCAGAAGAGTACTTTTGTTTTCTCTGGCTGTGGAATGCTGCCCTGCCAAGGGATGTGCATCAGCGAGGTAGAGAACAACAGACAAACGCAGCCTATACATGGCTGGTGGAGCCCTGAGTCAAGTCCCTAGGGATATCACCAGTACTAACCATCGGCAAAGGTAGGCCTAGGTGCTGGGAGATTCAGAACACAGGACAAACCAGATCCAGCCCCACCTCTGAAAACTTGACAAGCATGAGCCTTCGGAGACCTCAAGAGGAACTGAGGCAGGTCAGGACCTGGAAGCCCTTGGGCACATTCCTACATGAGGAACCATCTCCACACGAGCAACAATAGTTCTATTTCGGATCTGACAGCAAGATGAGGCAGAAGATACTCCCGATCCCCACAGGCACTGACTGAGTCCTTTTCCCTCAGTCCCTAGCCTACGCCTCCCCCTGAAACATGGGGGTAGCTAAGACAGAGCCACTGTGGGCTTGAGAGCTTTCTTCTTTACCCACCAGGACCAACCTGGGTACCCCAGAGAGGCCGGCCTTCACTGAGCACCTCTTGTCAAATCTAACAGATACTGTCTTTAGTTTATGTTACATACATGAAGAAGGCCTAAGGATTTTTTCATCCAAAGACTTAGTGTTTTTCTTTTCATCTTTATCTCTTACCTAACTTGTTCCCTCTGTAGAAAGAAAGAGGAAACAAGTTAATCCAAGGTATGCTGTGCCACAGTTTTCCTCTTGGATGCCAGCATATAGTCAGTGACCACTCACAAGGGTCAGAGCTATCACAGGAGAGAAGGATGAGCTGCATACATCTGGCCAAGAAGCATACAGCCCAAAGTATGGGGTCTGCTGACCAGTAACAAGTGAGCTCTTCATTCAGATTCACACAGCCCAAAGTGTGGGGTCTGTTGACCAGTAACAAGTGAGCTCTTCATTCAGATTCACACAGCCCAAAGTGTGGGGTCTGCTGACCAGTAACAAGTGAGCTCTTCATTCAGATTCACACAGCCCAAAGTGTGGGGTCTGTTGACCAGTAACAAGTGAGCTCTTCCTTCAGATTCACACAGCCCAAAGTGTGGGGTCTGTTGACCAGTAACAAGTGAGCTCTTCATTCAGATTCACACAGCCCAAAGTGTGGGGTCTGTTGACCAGTAACAAGTGAGCTCTTCCTTCAGATTCACACCTCACTGACCTATTCTTGAACTTTACCTTGTGCCTTGCCAGGTGCTAGGTGAGATCTCCTTGGGGAGCTTATTAAGACTGGCACCTAGGAAAAATGCCACCTCCATTTTCATTTTAATGTCCTTGTTTTTGCCTTGATATATAGGAAAGTGGGTTCCCAGGAATGACTAGGACCCTGAGGGGCAGAGGATACAAACGGGAAGGCTCATGGAGATAAGACTCTGAGCAGGAGCTGGGTGCTAAAGATGCAAAGGATTAAGTAAGTCTGTCCCAATTACTGTAATGAAAGTTTGTCTCACTGCTCATTGGGAAGACTTGGCCAAAGGGGGCATCACAGCAGGTTTAAAACCCACCTGGGAGCTCTGCACACAGGTGACCACACTTACCAAAACACACCTGCCCGGCTCAAGGCTCCAGAGGGAAGTCTCTGTGTTAATCTTGTGGGTGAGCTTCCCTTCCATGAGGACACGCTCTCCAGTTTCTTCCAGCATGGCCACTCGGATGGAGCCACTGCTAAGGGCCACAGAGACCTGAGAACACACCAGGAGAAAAGTCATCTTGCTTATGAAGGTTAACAGCTACTGCATTCCAGCTGTGCACACACTGACACTTGGGTTCCCCAAGCATCTCTGTGAAGAAAACCTTCCAGCCTAGTCCACATTCCAAGAAACCCGCATTCTATTGGCTCCTTTAGGCAAATCCACCAGAAAGATTTCAGCTTTAGTAGAGCTGTCAGTATTATGGTGGAAGCTGCTGACTTTCCACCCAAATCCTCTTCCCGTCTGCAGGTACAGAGTCTGGTTCTCAGGCTGGAAGGCAAGTGGGGAGATAGGAGTTGGTGCTTCCTTTCACCTTCCCTGTGACTATGGAGAGACTTCAGAAGCCTCGGCTCGAGGTTCCAGAGGGAACCCTTAGAGCTCTTATAGTGCGCTTCCTTTCCCTGATGGTCCACTCCCTGTTTTCCCCTCAAATGGCCACACAGCCAGCCACTGGCGAGAGCTAGCTCTCTGACCTCTTAAGGCCCTGGGCCACTGTGCCTAGAATAACTGAGCTGCTTGCTCAAAACTTTCTGGCAAAAGACATGTGTGGCCTCTTCTTTCTCTGAGGTGCTATAAAGGATGTGACCATAGCTTGATCTTCATCCAGGAGAGTAAAACTAGTTCCTTCAATTCTGTTTTTGTCTGTTTGAAACAGGGTCTCACTTTGTAGCCCAGGCTGGCCTAGAACTCACTACACAGATTGGGCTGGTCTCGAACTCAGAGGTCCACCTGACTCTACCTCCTGAGTGCTGGGATTAAAGGCGTGTGCCACCATGCCTGGCCTTTTACCTTGGTTCTTTATGAAGCTGAGCCCCAGCCACCTTTCTCCCTCTGAGCCTGCACTGGGCAGAAACTGTCGATGTGTCTACTCTGTTGTTGTGGGTAAACCTCTTCCTGCCCCGAATGTATGTCTCTACAGTGAGCTGGGAACTGCTAGGAAAGGTTCCCCACTTCAAACCACACAACCAGCCAGCAGATCCAAAGCAGAGTGCATGACCCCAGGAAGGCGTACGTTCAATAATTAGAAGACAAACTGGAGCTTGTATTTGTGTCACTTACTATCTTATGTGCATGTGCATAGGTGTGCACCATATGCATGCTGGTGCCTGTGGGTGCCAAAAGGAACTGGAGCCCCTACAAGTGGAGTTACAGGTGGTTGTGAGCCACCTGATGTGGATGCAGGGAAATGAACCCAGGTCCTCTACAAGAGTAATAAGCATTCTCAAAACACTGAGCAATCTCTCCAGCCTTGCATTCATTCTTTTGGAGTATTTGCACAAATGCTAACTAGTTGCACCTCCTTAATCTGAAAATTTTGCACTAGAGATGTTCAACCTGTATTTGCATAATGCATACCAAATAAGACACTGGGAACAAATATATTAAGTCTACTTTTCTAATAGGTGTATGAAATTAAAATTCAAAGACTACCTGGTAGATGCTCATTAAATACTTAAACTCTTAATTTTCCAAGTCAGGTACTATTTGCTGATGAATTGCCATAGTAAAACCTGTGTAATTTTGTGTATATTTGTGTTGGGGGGCACATGTGCAAATATCTGTATATGAGTGTGTGTGCATGTGTGTTTGCATGCATGTGAAAGCCAGAGGACAACCTTGGATGTTTTTGAAGCAGGGTCTCTCACTGGCCTGGAGCTTGATGATTGGGCAAGCCCCAGGAATCTGCCTGTCTCTGCCTCCCTAGCTCTGTTAGTATAACTGCTTGCCACCATTCTTGTGTTTTGCTCTTTTTTTGTTTTGTTTTGTTTTGTTTTGTTTTGTTTTTTGTTTTTTTGAGACAGGGTTTCTCTGTGTAGCTTTGCACCTTTCCTGGAACTCACTCTGCAGCCCAGGCTGGCCTCAAACTCATAGAGATCCATCTGCCTCTGCCTCCCGAGTGCTAGGATTAAAGGCGTGCACCACCACTGCCCAATATTTTTTGAAGAGGGCTCTAAGGATTGAACTCAGGTTCTCATGCTTGCATGGCAAGCATTTTACCAACTGAACTATCTCCCCAGCCCCTAAATGCATTTTTAAATATCCATCAAAAAAAAAAAAAAAAAAAAAAAGAGGAACCCACTGGAAAGACAACTCAGTGATTAAGTGGCTGCTTATCCAAAGGACACAGGTTTGATTCCCAGCATCTACACACAGGCAGCTTATAACAGTCTGCAACTCCAGTCCCACCCAAGGGGCCCAACACCCCCATTCTGGCCTCCCTGGGCACCAGGCACGCTTGGGGTACAAGAATACATGCAAGTAAAACACCCATACACATAAAAAATAAATAATAAAAATGAAGTGGGGGGAGGGGTTCTTTAAAAAAGAATCGGGGAGACTGCATGTGTCAGTGATCCCGGCTGACACTTCTCAGTGAAAATGCTGGGGTATGCTTGGGGGAGGAGGCAGGAGGAGGACTGCCTCTACTGCCAGAGCCACACCGCCAGCTCATTCCTGATGATCATGATCAATGGTGACCAAATTAACCCAACCAGGAATTTCTACTTGCAAAGAACACCAGACCCAGGTCCCTTAACAAACTCCCAGTAGTTTTATACAACATGCTAATTTCCAAATTTGGGCACGACTCTTCCAGAACCTAACCAGAGTAAGTAAGGAACGAACTCCTCAAAGGTGGTGAGTGGACAGGAGTACCAGCAGCAAACAGCGCTTTGGGAACAGCTCTCTAATCTTCTGAGGCCCGACAAAAGGACAGTGATGAGGAAAAGCAGCACCAAAGAACGAGACGATGGAGGGAAGAACTGATGAGATGTTAGCACACCTGTGAAGACAGGAACAAAGAATGACACATGGCCCAGATGCCAGAGGCTGGCGGACACATCTGGCAGCAGCTAGAGGCTCTGGCTAGAAGGCAGGCACAAAAGCAGAGAGGCACATGTGAGAAGAGCTTAGAGTCAGCCCTGAGGACCGGCTGGTTCTGCAGAAGCAGCCCTCCTCCAGAGACTGACCTGCATTCTGAGGGGCTGGTGTGACAACCGTGTTCTAGGTAAAATAGGAGTTCCTCAAACACAGAAACCATCAAGGCTTCGTACCTTGTCAGGAAAAACTAACTGTCAATTCTCTCAGCTGAGAGATGGGAGGAAAATCAGACCTTTGAAATACAACAGAGAAAACCATCAATAAAGCCTACACTCAAGACAATGTGGAAAAATGCTAAGTATCAACAAGAAAAATAAACCTAGTAGGGAAGTGAGAACTCTTTCTCATGAAAAAAAGCCAGAAGTGTGGTATGAAGAAGAAAAAGAGCCAAAAAGCAAAATCAAAGATGACAGACTTAATCAGGAAAAGTGTATTTAAATATTTCTATTTTATAACTTTGCAGAATCTAAGATGATATGAAAAATTACTGAACCAAAAATAAAAAAGAACTAAAAACATAAGTGCAAAAAAAAAAAAAAACTTCAATAGAAAGGCTAGAAGATTCAAGTCAAAGAAATCAGATAAAGAGATCAATTTACTAAGACGATATGATATTCCAGAAATTACTAGAATTCTTATTAACTAATTTTCTAGAAGTATAAAAAACTATGCCTTTACGTTGAAGAGACTCCCTGAGAGCTGAGCAGAATGAATCCAGGATGACTTAAACTCATGTACTTTGGGAACATTGTTTGAAGAAGGTCCTATTAGCTCTGAAGAGGACATGATGAAGTTTACTCACGGAGAACCCAAGTAGCTGAGATATTCCGGATCAGTAACACTGGATCTAAGCAAGAGGGTCACTGGGCTGCTCAGCAGACTGAAGCGTCCGCTGTTGAGCCTGGTGATCTGAGTTCTATCCCAGAGACTCACTAGGTGAAGGGGCAGAACCAATTCCTGAAGCTGTCCTCTGACCTCCACATGCCATGGCATGCATGTGTGCACATACATGTAAGTAAATACATAAACAAACAGACAGATAGATAGGTAGATAGATAGATACATACATACATACATAGATAAAAATGTAATTTAGGCTGGGCGGTGGTGGCGCACGCCCTTAATCCCAGCACTTGGGAGGCAGAGGCAGGTGGATCTCTGTGAGTTCGAGGCCAGCCTGGTCTACCAAGTGAGTTCCAGGAAAGGCGCAAAGCTACACAGAGAAACCCTGTCTTGAAAAACCAAAAAAAAAAAAAAAATGTAATTTAAAATTTTAAAAAAAGGGAAATGCCTTTGGCACACATCCAAACTGAAGTAAATAAAATAAATGTATTTTAAGACAAACAAGATCTCTCTATCACATATCATGTAAGGAGGGTGAAAAAGCCTAAATGAGAAAACTAAAAGAAGTAATATTCAACTAGAATCCAACACAGCAGTGCTTCAGTCTCCAAGTTCCAGGTGCAATCAGAAGCAATCATTCATACTGGGACCAGAGGTGAGAAAGGTCGTCAAAAAGGAAGTTCATTTCTGGACAACACACGGTATGATTGAATCTCAATGACTTGAAAGTCACGAGGAAAGCACGTTGCTTTTTTTTTCTTTTCTTTTATTTTACAATATAATTTAATTCTATATATCAACCACGGATTCCCTTGTTCTCCCCCTTCCCGACCCCCTCCCATTCTCCTCAGAGCACCGCCCATTCCCATCTCCTCCAGGGCAAAGACTCCCCCGAGGATTGAGATCAACCTGGTAGACTCTGTCCAGGCAGGTCCAGTCCCCTCCTCTCAGGCTGAGCCAAGTGACCCTGCATAGGCCCCAGGTTCCAAACAGCCGACTCATGCAATGAGCACAGGACCCGGTCCCACTGCCTGGATGCCTCCCAAACAGATCAAGGCAATCAACTGTCTCACCCATTCAGAGGGCCTGATCCAGTGGGGACCCCTCAGCCATTGGTTCATAGTTCATGTGTTTCCGTTCGTTTGGCTATTTGTCCCTGGGAAAGCACATTGCTTTTGACAATATAAAAAGAAAAGGCAGTAAGAAACCACTAAAAAACCAAAATGATAAGAGAAATTCCTAATTCAAAGGGATGTCAGTAAACAGGA